CATAGTGAGTGGGCTTCCTTTTTCCCTTCGGGTCCCCATTCCGAAGCAGCCTACAACCTGAGTTTCTTGGGTGGATTCCTTCTGAGGGGAGCATTATGAAAACACTTCATGGGAGAATTCACAGCAAAGATGTTCATGTCAATAATAAGGTGGCTCTTGATGGTTGACAACATTATGGCCAAATATAATTACCTATTTTATTTTCCTTGAGATTGTACTCCAGGTTTTATAGTAAGATGCAAGGTGGTTATTGAAATCTCTAAAAAAATATTGACAACTTTTGTTACCTGGATTTTTTGACAAAGCTATAATTTGTTAAAATATGTGTTTCAAGGTATGTGTCATACGATCCTCTAAATATTGCATCCTTGTAATTAATTCATAAATTTAAAATGTATATTTATATATGCATAGATCTATCGATCGATAGATAGATAGATACCATACAAACAACCTCGAAAGTTCTACGGTCCACTTAGAACTGCATTGCTTTTTTGCTTAGGCTATGAGCACAATGTATCAAAATTAATTTCTGTTTATAAATAATAATTTGATGCTTATTTCAAATTGCACCTCTAAAAGCATTACCTTCTACGCTTAATGTGTGACTGTGGAATATGTTTCTGCAGCTTAAAATATTTTACATTAGTTTTCAAATATTAATTGAATATTGGTTATGGAATTATTCCCTACACATCAACTGTGTATGCATTTAGTAGTATTTGATGTTTTGATGACTTGATGTTTTGGCAATTCAATTTTTTCTTGCCAATCTTTCATCATCAGATTGGTTTACTTAGTAAGACCTTACAGACAGCACAGCTCGGTGTGGCTCAGGAGCAGCTGCAATGGCTTAATAATGCCTGATGGGACACCTGAGTGCTACCTCCGTGTGCTGGGCTCTTGGACCTCCCGGAGCTCTTGGGCATCAAAACTCCTCCAGGCCCAACTACTCGTGTGACATCTAGGAGGATGCTTAAGCCTCCTGTTCTGGCTTCATGCTGCAACATTCAATCAGACAGAAAAGAATTTGTTAGTGTAGATGTCAGTAGTTGGACACAAAATGCTAAGCATTGAGTTTTGGCTCTAACTTTTTTGGACTATTTCCCTTGAAAGCAAACTGGTTGCAACTGGTTACAGTAATGGAAAAGTATTTCCTCTGTCAAAAATATAGTGTTTCTGCCCTCTAGTTTCTTTCCTAAATGCACATTTTATAGTTATAAAAAGAAATTTATTCATGTAGTTATTTTTTTACTGTAGCAAATTATTATAAAATATGAAGTACAGATATATGGAGGCATAAACTAAATCATGGTTGATCCATACCAAATTGTACATGTAGCTATTAAATAGCTTGAAAAAGTAATTACACAATTGTAAAATACATTTAATAAAATGTGTTCTGAAAAACGTGCATATAAAATTGAATATATAATAATCTCTTAATATCATAAAATATATGAGAAAAAACTGTTATTGGTAGAATTTTCCTTTGATGGGATTTAAAAAAAAAAAACTATTTATTTATTTAGCATAGGGTCTCACTACACAGGTCAGACTCATAGTAATCCTGTCTCAGCCTCCCCAGCATTGGGATTACAGGCAAGCTCTGTCATACCCAGTTTCAGTGGCCAGCTCGGCATGGGGCTGACACAGCATAGGGTACCTGGGATCAAACCCAGGTAGGTGCACTTGCCAGGCAGGCACTTAGACCGCTGAGGTATCCCCTTGGCCTTTTGTGGGATATTTTGATTCATTTTTCTTGTATTTTCCTATAACACTACCTCGGTGGGCCTCAAGTAGCTGGTTTTTCCTCCAGTGGACATTCGGCTCTCTGGAGGAAGAGTGCGTCTTGGCTGAGCATGCGCACTGGAATCTCGCTAGCAGCAGCGCATAATGCTGGCAAGCAGCCCTTGACGCACGTGACAACCCCCTGACCTTCAGTGCATCAAGTTTTTATCTGGCCGGCAATATCAATAATACTACAGGTTGTGATGATGTCCTGTGTTACAGTGATACTTTATTTGAAACTCGAGGAAAAGACATAGCATAAGAAAAAGAATATACTTTCACTGATATAATACACGTATCAGATTTTCTGCCCCAAGCTATTTTGTGAGAAACTACAATTGTTATTTATTTAAGTTTAAGAAATCGGCAAAAGTGTGATGGCAAACTCGTTAAATTTTTACGGCCTTTTCAGTTCACTAGAACATGATTGTGAATCTGAGTAACAAGAATCCAACTCTTCTTGTTGAATGACTAAGGTTCTGCCTGTAGTTGTCTAAGCCTAAATTTCTCCATGTGGAACCATTTCTTGCAGCTGTTTTCTAAAGCCGGCTGGCTTATTTTGGATCTAAATTGAAGCCCAAGAACAGCTAATATTTACACAAAGAATTTGAAACAAAAGAAATTTTGTGTCTAAATGAGCACTTATGCAAAAATACTTTTATTTTTCATCCTGGCAAAATTCCTAAGATTTAATGAAGTGAAACCATTAAAAAAAAAAAAAAGTCCAGTGATGTGAGAATACAAAGAGTGTGTCTAAAAATAGCCTAGAAAGCTAAGTGCTCTGCTTTTTCATACAATAGCCAATCCTGAATGTTGCCCTTGACATGAACAAAAGAGTAAGTCCCCTCTCTTCACAATGATTATAGACTTTTCTATAACTGTGGTCCCAAAGTAACCAAATTTAATGATGTTATTCGGAAGGAAGTTAATTAAATTTAATTGAGGTTAAGTTTTACAATATTCTTTTTTAGAATGAACTTTTACAACGGATGAGTCTATGGCTGTTTTCAAAAACGGTAAATAGCTCAAGGATGTTGTCAACAGTAACGAGTGCTTGGCCAGTGGCGCTTGCCTGGGCCGTTAGCAAGACAACCGTGGTTCTTCTAAGTGGTTATTAAACTGTAGCGCTATCTCTGTGTCGTATATTCTGCTAGTGCTTTATATACTTTATAATTTGCTCTCTTAGCACCCATCTCACACATGTAGGTGTTCTTTTTCCAGCTTTAGTTACAAGGGTCTGAGTTCTAGGTCGTCACCTCTGCTAAAGGGATGGTACTAGGAAGCCAGATTGCATGACTTCAGTTCCATTCTTCATACCCTCACACTCAGGTTCTGTTAGGCTTTAGTGGAGACTTAAAACTACACCTGTCCAAATCATCACTTTGTGTGGAACAAAGGTTAATCATCCCTAAACAGCAAGATATAATTTAAAAAATAAAAGACATTAAATGAGTATGTTATAATCTTCAGCTCAACTTTTGAGATCCTTGGTGGAGTGATTTAATTTGAAAGCTTAGTTTCCTGCATTTTTATCGCACTGAAATTGTTTTCAAAAAGCCATTAAAAGATCAATGTTTATTTAATTACCCAATGGCATTATCCTCTCTTGATCTAATCCCAGATAATTTAGTGCAGACCCTGTGAGAACAAAATGTCCTTGTTTCCCTCTCCTTGCAATGCTGTCTGGACATACAGTTATGTTACAAGGCTGATAGAGTAGTCTTCTTTATGGATGATTTTCTTTGTAGAGTTGTAAATTTTTTTTTATTTTTCTTATTTCTTTTTTACCTTTTCATTCATTTGAAGTGAAGCAGTGAGAGTACACACAGTGGTGTTGAACAGTCACACTTAGTGAAACATTTGGAAAAATAATTTAAACTTTTTCCATAAATAGAGAGCTATGTTTATTTTGGAAATTAAGAAGTGTTAGATTTTCCTATTTACACACTATAGAGTATTATTAAATATAGTAGCAAACACATACCGCACACACAATCTGTGTTTTGTCTTTTGAAATTTCCAAATTCTGTATCTCCAACACCAAATGATCTGAGTGAATAAAAGTAAGGAAAAGGAATTACTTCAATTCTGCCATAATATGCTCAGTGAAAACAGAATGCTAATTTTAACTATGAAGTCTGATTTTGATAAGGTTGAAGTATTTTTTTCAGGGCTTTTAGAGCAATAAAGACACACTAAATAAAATAGATTTAGTTCTTTGGCATTGTTTTTCAATTATTTTTCTAGCAAGCATTCACCTCATTGTAAGTTTTGCAATTATATTTAATAAATGCATTACAAATATATTGCATTAGTTTTTTCATGTTGAAAATGTCAGCATTAGCCAGGATTTAATTAGCTGTGCTGTTTTTTCAGGCTCCCAATTGCATCGTGGTGAACTCCTTAGATATTCAATTAATGTAAATTATTTGCATAAAGGGTATATATACTCAATGGGCTACTGCAAAATCACTTGATATTTTCCTTGCTATATGAATGGTTCCATTTACTAGTTTACTAGTGGGAAATGAAATTGTGTAATTGGAAAGTGTAAAATACTTTATAGCACATTAATTTAGCATAATTATCAGCACATTATAGTATACACTGAATTACAATTGAGAGAATAGCATTGTAATGTTTAGGAGAAGTAACAACCAAAAAGAGTTAAATTGTTAGGGGAACAAGTGATGTGTAATGAAAATGAAAATAATAATTGAAAGATGATTTTGAAATTTGTAAACAGTCTCTTCCTTTGATAACTATTTTTTTCTTGTTCCTTTTTATTTTTCATTTGTTTTCTGTTTTTTTATAATTTGCTGCTTGCCATTGAAGGAAGTAGAGGTTTGTATACAACTTTTGTTTCATATATTATTTTATATTTCATTTAAATCTGTGCATTGAAATTACTCATTTACACTCAATTCACATTATTTTCCCCCCTTAGGATGATTATTTCCGCACATGGAGTCCAGGAAAACCCTTTGATCTGGGTAAGAATTTAATTATTTTAAAATTAAAAATTTTAAGTGTACCTTAATAATTATACTTTTTGTTGGACTAGTCTTTAAAATAGGGATATATATAATATAGGTATATATGAATGGAAACATTACAAAGTATTTATGTTTATTTTAATACAATATAAATATGACCTAGTTGCCATGATTACATCAGGGTATCTTTTTTCTTTTATTTTCAGATACATAATTTATATTATTGATTTGGACTCTTGTACTTTACCATAACCACTTCTATTTCTTGATACAAAATCTTCATCTAGATTTCATGTGCATTTTCTGGGAAATAAATTCATCTGTGCAAAATTTCAAAACAAACTTATGTTCAGTCCCTTTTTTCTGTCCATAAAAGATTTCACTGAAAGTAGAGCATACTGATAATTATACTCACTGAAGTCTTAACAAGAATCAAGACAAAAGCTTTATATTAATTTAGGAATCTCTTATTTCTGTGCACACAGCTTGCAGTTCTGCTTATCTCATCCTCAGAGGGATAAGCAGGCCATATGAGAAGGAATGGAAATACTCCTACATATAAAATAAAAATAGGAGCATCGAACACAATGCAACCATAATTATATGAATAAAGAGATGTGCATACTACATTCCATTGATACTTATGAATCTTCCTTTTAAGCTTTGAAAAACAAGAAAGCTCTGACATACAAAGATTAAATGGCACCCTTGTGATGACAATGGGCAATGAATTGGCACCAGTTATTTACTAGTCAGTTTTCTGGAACTATAATGAAACATTTAAATTAAAGAACTTAAAAGAGAAAAGATTTGCTGTGGCCTATGGGTCTAGATGTTTTTGCCTGAATTTGGGTGGCTCATTTGCTTTATCACCTGGACAAGTAATGACACCATGATGGGGACACAGGGAAGTGAAAACTAGTTGCTTGTGTCATGAGTCAGGAAGCGTCGAAGAGGAAGGAGAGAGGCTAGCCCCACAGTGATCTTAGAGAGAATACGCACTTTGGCAGAAGGCCCTGCCCAGAGGCCTCGCCCGTTCAAGATTCCCTCACCTCCCAATAGCACCCTACTCCATGGGAACCAAGCCATACACATGGCCCTTTGCGGAATGCTCAGCATTCAAATTGTATCATTTTATGAGCAGAAAACTTTTTAGAAAATGTTCAGGGAGGGGCCAAGGAGATGACTCAGTGGAATAAGCACTTCCCTGGCAAGCGCAAGGGCCTGAGTTCAATCCCCGGTTCCGCAAAAAAAAAAAAAGAAAATGTTCAGGGAAATGATTGACTGGTGGTCATAATATATACTAAAAGTGTTTAGAGTTGTTGCTATTTCTATAATAACTTTTTTGTTTGTTATTCAAACCAATGTTACAAAAGCAAAACTCTTTGAGAGAGAACCTAATTTCATACACCTAATCATGGACTATCAACAATGTCCATCCATAGCAAGCATTCCTTTACAATTAGTTTGTCTCTTATTTTCTTCATGTTATTTCTTTTTTGGGCGGATGTCTACAGGGTGTTCAAGGTCTCACTGCATAGATCAGATTCATAGTGATCCGCCTGTGTAGAGCCTCCCAAGAGCTGGGATTATAGGCACACGTGCCACCGCACCCAGTCTCAATAGCCCTCTCAGCACGCCCCTGGGGCAAGGCTGGCCCTGGCAGGCCCAAAAATCCAGCCCCCAGCCTCTGCGCCCATTTGCAGGTGCTTTAATCTGCTGAGCTATTTGACTGGTCCGCATGCTATTTTAATATTGTTGCATGTTTCTGCTTTTGTAATATAAAGTAGAATTCTGTAAAATTAATCTTGACTTGTTTTACAAATAAGACCTGCCAATACACTAAAAGACAGAGAATGGGAAAAATAATAATATACAAATTGAGCTGTGTTGATATGCCTTTTTCAAAAATGAATTTTTATAATGAATCATCAACATTGAAATGGTGAATTATCTATGAAATGGATGTCAGTAGTTGAATTTGTCAAAATCAGGGCATCCAGTTACAACAAAGACGCTCTGATCTTTACTTTCTGCGTGTATGACAGTCTGTTGAATTTCAACTCATCCCTCATTTATTAAAACAAACTAATTAAATAAATAAACACATCACTAGAGCAGAGTGTCTTACTCACTTTCTTGTGGCTGGACATAGTACCGGATACTAACAAATTAAAAGAACAAAACCTTATTTTGGCTCCTGGCAAAGCAGACAGCACGCAGAGTCCAAGAGGGAGCCAGCAAGGGAGGCGCAACCTTCCAGGCGGTTCCTCCAGTGCTCTGCTGCTTCCACCTCCAAACAACAAGCCAGCTGCAAGCCTGGGATGCAGTCACACTCCCAACCGCCACCTGTGATCAATTGAGGCTTCACACGTCACATAGATTCTAGAGATTAATTTTGACTTAGCCACCTATCAGCTGTGCCGATGCACCCACAGGCAGGGAATGAAAACACAATGACATACACTGTAATGTATTTATTCACTTTTTTGGAAATGCAATTTTTATGATGAAATCATAAATCTTAAAAACTGAGTGATCTGTGGAATAGATTTATGTTTATATTTTCAGTGATCATTGTACTCAATGAAAATAAAGATTACTTATTTTTATTTTTTGTGTTTGTGATATTGTGTTGAGTTCCAGCTCATCTTTTGTGTATTATAAAAAAGAACAGGATTTCTATAAAGGAGCATAGAATAATCAAATATACTATAAAATTAATTTCCTTTAATTTTCAAAGATTTATGAACTACTAATTTGTTACATGTACTATAGTTATTAGATAAGTAGTTTGTGGTATAATTTATGAAGAATTAAATATTGAATCACTATTTTATTCTCTCTCTCTCTCTTTCTCGCTCACTCGCTCTAGCTATCTAGATAGATATATATGTTTAACTTTGCATGGTCCTATGAGGTAGATAAAGAAACTGAGGTAGTAAGAAGTTCAGGCTTTTGCCCAAGTGATATTCCTACTGAATAGAGTCAATATTTGGGTTTATACAGTCTGAAATCTGAAGCCCGCTTCATACCTCCTTCTACACTATGCTATTAACACTCATATGCTAACATCAAAAAATGCTTTATTAACTATATTTACTTAGCACAAGTTGACTATGGATCTTACTGCAATCTATGTGACATTTTCATGTTTCATCCATGCTTATGTGCATAATATGTCAAAGAGTAGCCACTGAAAATAAAGTGTTTAGTTGAACACACATTAAAAATAGAGCTCGTAGAAATAGAGCTTTATTTCTATGTATTAATTTTTTTAATTTATTTTTTATTTTTTTAAGGAACCAGAGTTTGAACTCATGCCCTTGTGCTTGCCAGGAAGCACTTATTCCATTGAGCCATCTCCCCGGCCCTTATTTCTATGTATTAAAATACTATTTTGTAGCCAATCAGATCTTGAATTTTGATTGAATAAGTATGCCTCATGAAAACAAATGAGGGTCAGCCAAAGAGCTCAGCCAATTAAAGCACCTGCAAGCAGGTGCAAGGGCCAAGGGTTCAATCCCAGGCCTGCTAT